GGGGGGGGGGGGGGCAGAGAGTGGTCGACAGGTTCGTCCATTCCTCAGGAGTTTGGGGGACCGGCAGCTGGGGCCGTATTCGTTCCGAATCTGTTCCCCGGCTGTCGATTCCCCGATTTTACCCCCCACAGAATGGCGCCTTCGGCCACCACTACAGTACTCGCGAATTGTGAAAACATGAGTGTGTGGGCAAGCCTATAGTTCTACCATGCATTAGCAATAGATCCTACCTCGGTGTCTTCTTGCGAAATTTTCTCGACAGGGTATCCCAAAACACCCTCCCCGGTTTATCCGACCATGCGCATTGAATGCTCCGTACCGGGCTCATGCTCCTGTTGGAAGTGGTTCTTCCACACCGTTTCTAGGAAAGCAATCCAGTTATTCATTTCCGCCGAACTGGTCGTGGTGATCGTTTTTGATATGGTGATCGTTCGACATCTGTGCTGCACCCAACGTCTGTCTGTACCGGAAACTCAGGTGTGGCTCAACCCTCGCGATCTCCCAGCCCCGCAAGACATGCGTTGCGGCGAGTGCAGTCAGCCCCTGTCCTTCCTGGTGCAGCTGTACTGCCCCCTTGACCACGAAGATGACGCGTTCCACCGCTGTCTTTACGTGTTTTGTTGTCCCAAGGTAAGTTGTGCTTGATGTGGTCATGGTCAGGACTTGAGTGTCTACTGTTGTTTACCTTGCGCAAGGTGGATAGTTTTGAAGTGGACCGATCAGGCGCCGGCAGTCCGAAAAGCCTTTGTTTGCTCTGGTGCAGCCCCGTGCGATAGTCCTGTTCGATTAACCTCCTTAGCGGTGAGCTGGGAGCGACATGGCGACTGCTATCCGTTCTTGAAGCAGCTTTCGGAGATAGCTCCGTCGGAGATACGTATTTTGTGGAAGCACGCAGTAAGTAGCATACGATGCATATTTGTGGACGACGAGGAGATGCCTTGCAGGGCTGATGCTCGTGCCGATGCTCGATGTCGGATGCTCCGGGGGGAGACTATCATTATACCTGTATGGTACAATACACAGGCAAGATACCAGCAGCACGCGACAAATCCAATCCCACCCTCGCTACACACGAGGAGACAACCCTATACAATACCTGCTGATTTTTCATATTCATTTTGTGCCCAAAATTTCATTTTCCGGTTTGCGCGTTTCTGGTCGTGTCCTTAAGGCTTCCTGCTCCAATAACTCTAGCGTCAAGGCGTTGCGCTGCCAGCTGCCCAGGGAGAACGAGTTCTATCCTTACGAGCCAAGTCACAAGGTTTGTGCGCCGTTGGCGGGAACAGATTAGGTTACAATTCAACCAAACGGGGCTAGGATCTCTTCTCTATGAGGCATTTCTGCCAGGTGGAACCATGGGATGGTACGCATGTGAGAGGCGATTCACGAACAACTGTTGTTGAAGCAACTTGAAATACCATGCCAGATTTCTTTGCTGCTTCAGCGCGTCTCCCCCTGATTCTATCGGCAAGCTCAATCCTTCTGCGGGGGGGTTCCGTATTGCCTCACAATGTGGCTTTCACGTCCGGTCTTGCATCTGCTAGAATAGAAGAGGCCGTCAAAACAGATGCAGGTAGATGCCCCTTGGGATCAAACTGCACGATCACTAGTTCCTTCCGGTCCCCCTTGTATTGTTGTGGCCAGGCGTCGATCTTGGCGAAGCAACAGAAGGGGTCTGACCCCGAGACATGGGGGGCCAAGCTTTGCTGCGTGTGCGGTCAGTTGGCGAAGAGCGCATGCTCGAAGTGCAGGATCGCACGGTACTGTGGGCGTGAGCACCAAACTCTTCACTGGAAAACAGGGGGGCACAAGAAGGTGCGACTCGATAGTGGTGCAGCGTGTCATTCTGTGTGGTATGCAACAATTCTTTGTTCTTTCTGGCTTGTGTTTGCTGTGTATGGATGCGCTGGGAATGGCGACAACAGGGTGCGGTTAATCACGTAACATTACTTCTTCTGCACAACATGGCAGCTACGCAACGTGTTTTGTGTGCCCGCCAAAGCCTTGGGTTTGTGCTGGGTATCACACGTTACTGGAATCCTTTGCAGATTTGGAGAAGAACGAAACAACAGCGGCAACAACACAACTTGGGGCAACGACTTTCTTGAATCAAAAGTTGGTTGTCTCCCGGCTTGCCCTCTTTACACCTCAGGTTTGCACATCGGATAACGGAACGGCTACAGTAGCTGCACGCAAGAGTACCGCTGGAACGTTGCACGCCCGAACAACACCGAAAACTTTGGCATCAGCCTCGGTGTTTCGGGAATTCGAGGTGGAAGTTCGACCAGAGCCTCCGCCGCCACCGGCCGCACCAGATGGGCGTACGGCGGAGGATGTCTTGATGGGCCAAATGGGCTTGGAAGGTGCGGGTGCGTTGGTTGGGGTGCTCACAGGACGATGGCAGCGTGCGTGACGAACAATGCTCTCGCGGGGTTGTAGCGTCCATTAGCTGGTGTCGTGTGGGAGATGGAGGGGTGTATTCGCATGGAAGCTGTCCAACACGCATGGCATACATGGCGTGCCAAGCCGGAAGACGTGACGGCAGTGTCTTTGGGACAGTGTGATGGGGAAGCGTTTGTAATAGTGGACGATCTGTCCTCCTCAGCAATAACATCTTTTGCTGCCGCACATGGTATTCGACAGCGCTTCGACGGTGTCCACTGTCCTACCTGTTGTGTCCACTTCCCTACCTGTTGACTTCTCGTTTTTCCAGCCGGGATTGTGTTTCGATCTATTTATCAGGTGCGACCGAGGACGTGAAACAGTCAAAGTCGCGCTTCGGGAGCCTTGTTCAAGTTGCGGAGACACGGGTGTGTTGGCCGTACGCGTTGCGTTAACGTCAGGCGGTTTTCTCGCTCTGACATGGCTTCGTCTCTAACACTTGGTAACGGTGACGGCGTGCCGTGCTGCCGTGCAGGTGGCAATGATGATGGGGGACCCGCGGATGGCGAAGATGACGACTCCAAGCTTTCGCAGGCAGAGCTCGACAAGGTGGCGGTGAGTCCGCGGTCGTGTCAGTGTACTCTGAACCAGTATTATTTAGTGATTGCCTCGCTTCGCCATTACACACGTGTTGCTGGGGGCTCCGTACTAAAAAAGTCTGGACAAAAAGGCGTCTCGCCTACCACCATGATTCTTCGGAACCCCTCCGATTTTCGGCGCACACCAGATGCGTCGCGTCTTTCACCATCACCGATGCTCGTCACACAGGCTACGGTTTGCCACGCCGCGAGCAGGGGACCCTGATGAGATTGGAAACTGTGTCCCCAAGCTTGATGAGGTTGTAAACTATGTCCCCAAGCACTTTATATGATGGCGTATTTTTGCTTTGAACTGGATAAAAATGCGACATTTGCACCCTCTTTTTTTGCTCCCGGCAACCAGTTTTCAACACAGAGTTGTGAACTCGTAGAATTGCTCAAATCGCCCGATACTCGGAGGGTGTCCTTCGTGGTGGGCTAGCTACCGAACACACCCACATGTGGTAAAAATTGAGATCGGCACTGCGGCGGTCGTAGTGGGCCTTCAAAAGGCATCAAAAATGGACGGAAATCAACTCTGAACGCCAGTAGTTCAGCGGGGTAGCCCAAGAACCACAAGCAAGATCATATGTCTACCTCCAACATCATAACAATAAATGAGGGATCGGCAGGCCCGGTGAAGCTTCCGGCCGATGTTGTGACCGCGTAGAGTTGCTCAAATCGCCCGGTACTTGGATGTTGTCCTTGTTGGTTCGTTAGCTATCGAAAACACCATGGTAAGAATTCGGATCGGCACTACAGCGGGAGGTGTTGCAAGGTTTCTGCCATTCCCTATGGCTAAGCAGGATCCGGG